AAATGAATGGGAAAATCGTACGTTGTTGCCTTCTCGCCTTGTCGCCTCCGATGAGCTGCTGAGGCTTCAAGATGGCTCCCAAGAGGCCCCGGCCAGGCCCAAAGAGGCCCCCCCAAACGACCTCAAGAGATTCCAAGAGGCCCCCCAAGAGCTTCCCAAGAGGCCCCAACAGACCCACGAGGCCCCAAGAGGCCCCAAGAGGCACGCCAGAACACCCAAGATGCTCCCAAGACGCCCCCACGAGGCCCCCAAGAGGCTTCATGGAACTCTCAGGAGGCCCCGCTTTCGAGAGGCCCCAAAAAGAGACCCCAAACAGTACCCAAGACGCTCGAAGAGGGACCCCACAAATGTGAACATCGTCCCCGGGGCGCTCCGACGAGGCCCATGGGGCCTCCAGTACGCCTGTGGCAGCAGTGAAGAGGGCTTCCAAACGCGCGCCACAAAGGGAAATCAAATGAGCTTGCGGGCCCTTCCCCCGAAGATAGCAACCATAACCCCGACCGTGCCCCCCTCACGACCCCTCTGCCGCCTCAGAGATTTCAGAATCGGCCAACAGCAGCCGTGGGTGGCCCAAGAGGGCTCCCAGATTGTTTGAAAAGCCGCAGGCCATATTCAACTCAGACGCAGAAGCGAGATAAGGAAGTTGTAGCCACATCGCAGCAACGAGCAAATAAACATTTGAAAAGCGTGCATCACGACATCACAACATCCAAGCAGTAGAGGGCTCAGCACACACGCGGCGAAAATTGCGTCGCCCAGTTCTTCGCGTAGACCCTCCAGGAGCCCGCTCTTCATTATGTCTGCTTTAGTCCCACGCAGTGCGCTGCCGGGCCCTGTTTGCTTTCTCGGGTGGGAATGCCGAGGATTATTCGTAGAAGGGAGAGGGGCGGGAAACATCAGAAGGCTGGGGGACGGAGAAGAACGAGGAGGAGCCACAGGGGGAGGAAGGAGGGAGGACGCCATGCGCGCGAGGCGGGGGAAGGATGGGGGAGGCCCAGGATTACTTCGCCGACAAGCAGAATATCATGATCATCGCACTTCATCAAAACTCCCTCGGCTTCTTTCACGGTGGCCTCCTGGGACGTCTGCGGCTTGCATCCAACAGCTCACGGCATGTGTTCAGTTCCCAGAGTCAGTCCTACCTGTCGGGATCGCGTCGAACACCTCTTCCTCATCTCTTTCCTGTTCTGTGGTTATAGGACCTCGCCATTTTTGGTACGTGGCGGCGCGCCATGCGTCGCCTGGCGACGGGGCTGGCCATTCGTGGTCTGTCCCGTCGCCCGCGCTCGCCCCCCCCCCTCCTGTCCCCCTGTCCCTTGTCACCCCCTTCCCCCTCTTTCCCCTTCCCCCCCCTGCGCCCCCCTTGCAATGTTTTCGCCGTGCGACATTGGCGACGCGGAGGAGGAGCACCGCTGATTAGGGTCGCGTCGGGCACTCCCCTTTTCCCACCTCCCAATGGGCGCAAAACCGCCGGGCGGCACGCCGACGCCGGCACTTGCAAACGGGGGCCACCTGGGGGTCGCGCTTTCCCCTCTGGCGGCCCCCCCGAGCCTGGGGCCCGACGGCGGGCGAGGGGGGGCGCTAAGGGGGGCACGGGCGCAGAGCGCTGAGAAAGGTACCCGCCCCCCGAAGCAGCGCGCTCGGCCAGAGCAGCGAAACGGCGGGCCCCGACAGAACGGGGCCACGGGGGCGCGTGGGCCGGGCGCGTTTCCAGCGGGGGACGGCCGAGTTCAGCTCTCGGCGTTGGGGGGGGGGGGCGCCTCGGTTTTGCCCCCCCCCTCCCCCCCCCCCCCCACTCGCAATAAGTATGCCTTCCCCATTGCGCGGCAAGGCTTTGCCGAGAGCGCTTCGCAACTAGCGGAGACCCACATGGCAGGATGGCAGGGGCCCGCAGCGCCCGCGACACCTCGCCTTCTCCCCGGGCGTCCCGAAGGGCCCCCCGGCCGCGAGCTGCGGTCGAGGAGGGGTGCCCGGGGGCGGGGGCGCTCAAGGTTGAAGCCATAGCGTCCCGGACGCCCCCCCGACCGCAGGGCGCGGTCAGGGGGGGGCGTCCGAGGGGCGTCCAAGGTTGAGACATGGCGTCCGACAGAAGGCCGCCTGCCCAACTGCGGCCGCTGTTGGTTTGGGACAACATTTGTTGTTGGGCACAGTATCCATTTTTTCCGTGCCCACTTCGGGCGTCCAAATCCACGGTCGAAGCCGCTGCGTCCCGCGGCGCGCCCCCTGGCCGCGAGACGCTGTCTACAGTGGGGGTCCCAGAGGGCGTTCAAGGTTGAAGCCACGGTGTCCTGGACGCCTCCCTGGACGCGAGACGCGGTCAAGGGGGGGCATCCGGGGAGATCTGTCCTGAGGTGCCTTGTCACAACGCGCGTCCGATCGATTGCGCCCACGCAGCCGCATGAACCACCCGATCAATCAGTGCACGGGGGGGTTCCACAAGGACCCCAGCGGCCCCCCAAAGCCCGCGACGACCCCTTCATCGATTCTTTTCGAGTTTCAAGAATTTGACCACTATCAGTCTACGCACTTGAGTCATACGCAGACTGAGCCATCCCATCAAACACCGCCTCAGCCATTGCAGTAACGCGCAGCCGCGTGGCCGATACATATCGACGCAGGCACATTTGCATGTGGTCATCAAGCAATTCTGTAGTCATCGAACGTCACCCGTTCCCTCCATTCCTCCACCAAACTACCCCCATCCCTCGACGACCTTGGTTGGAGGGCGGAAGGGACTGGCGAAGTTGGAATCGACGGAGCGCATCGCAAAAAAGCGAGACATGAAACGCATCAAGCAATTCAAAAACGAAAGACCCGTGCATTCAACGCACGCGCGTTGGGTTCAGAGTTGTGTACCCAGTGGCTGGCTGGCGCTCACACAACGCGTTTGCCCCTGCTGGTTCCCGAACGCTGCGTGCTGCGGCGGCGAAGGCGTTCTTCGGTGGCCTTTCACTGCCTTCGACTCGATGTCGCTGCGCGTCTGATATCATATGTTGGGGTACCGGGGGCCCGAGCCTCGGGCTGGCACGCCCTCCCCAATTCCCCCCCCCCCGAGAACCCACCCGGGCCCTGGAGGACAGCGGACGTTTTTCCAGCCTCCAGGAAATTCTCGCGCCCCCCGATGCGTTCCCCATGGCCAACGGGGGCGGCAAGAAGCTGCCAAGGAGGTCCAAGAGCGCCCCGAGACGCACATGACGACTTCAAGACGGCTCAAGAGCTCCCACCCCCAAGACAGCGCAAGACCGGTTGCAAAAGGACCAGCAACAGGTAACAATTTGTTATGTTCCGTTGGTTTTCCGAAGATGTTCGAATTCGCGCTTCTTTGTCGAGCTCCAACGTTCCGGGAGAGCCCAAAAACCCCAGCAAAATTTCGCAAAATAGCCCCAAAAAAACGAAGGGCCCCTGGGACGGCCCAGAGGACCCAAAACAATCCAAGAGCGTTCCAGGCCAAGCGAGGCGGCAGGTTTGACAAATGCACTCTACACACATACACATACATACACATATGCATGAATGTATACGTTCTGCAGGTGTCGATGCGAGTTCCACGGGCGCTGCTAGAACCTAAGCGCGCGCGAAGCGCGCGCGTGGTTCTAGTGCTAGCATGTCCTTGTGCCTCATATTGGTCGGGACCTCCGGGGGCGGCGCTTGGACAAGAAGAGGGCGTCGCCTGCGCGGGGGCAACGGGGGGGTGTTTCTTTTTAGGAGGGGGCGGCTCTGGGTTCGCTCGCCCGGCTCACGGCGTGAAAGGCGTAGAGTTTTGAGTCGGGCCTGGGGAAACATTCAAATATTGTCAAAACATCGTATGCGGACGATGTTGTGATTATTTGTTGCCATGTTTGAATATTGTTCGATCATCTTTCATTTGTCATCCAAAATCCCCCTGTTGGAGGACATGCCCGACCTAAGTGTATTTTTCGCCATTCCAGGAGGTGTTTCCAAGTTGATGGGGACGCCTGCCTGCCGCGAGTTCGAGGGTAATCTTTGGCGCCAGTTCACAGGCAACCGCTGGCAAACCCAATTCGAGCATCATGTGAACATCGGTCTGAAATCCGTTCCTGGCAAGATAGTCGCGTACACAGTTTTAGCGCAGGCGGGAGAGACGGGTTGACAGCAGCAACGGTTCCCCACCAGCGCAGTCATTTGTCTCAGAGGCCGCACAGAGGGCCATGCTAGCAGCACACATGTTGCATGTTACACACGTTGAGTCCAGGAAAACAGTCACGATGAGCACATCGAGAGGGTAACAAGTGTAAACATCAATTGTTGGAGTTCCGCGCGGGGTTTTTCCGCCTCCCTGGCGCGCGGAACGCGCCATGGGCCGCGCTGGAGGCGCCTCTCGGGGTTTGGGGGGACCCAGCACCGATCCAAGAACTCTCCGCACTCCGAAAGTTTATGTGAATGCCATCTTTTTCATTGCCCCATGAAGCGCGCGCACACACACACACACACACACACACACACACACACACACACCACGACCCACCCCGCGACCCACCCCGCGACCCACCCCGCGACCCACCCCGCAATCCACCCCGCGATCGAACCCGCGACCCACCCCGCGCCCGCCCCCTCACTCTTGCCCGCAATTGCGGAGTGCTGGTGGAAGAAATGTTCATGCAGTTGCGGGGCGTATTTGTATGTATTTCTCCACTTCTCGACACCATCGGTGGTTCACCCCCTCGATGAGGAGGATGAGGAGGAGGAGGAGGAGGAGGAGGAGGAAGAGGAGGTGGAGGAGGAGGAGGGGGAGGGGGAGGAGGAGGAGAAAGAGGAGGGAGGAGGAGGAGGAGGAGGAGGAGGAGGAGGGAGGAGGAGGAGGAGGAGGAGGAGGAGGAGGAGGAGGAGGAGGAGGAGGAGGAGGAGGAGGAGGAGGAGGAGGAGGAGGAGGAGGAGGAGGAGGAGGGGGAGAGGGGGAAGGGGACTTCACATCGGCGGATCGCCCCCTCCCCCTCCATCATCCGCCTCGATCCTCGAGGACCGACTCGCCCCGTGCTCAGGACGCGGTCCAACTACGTCCAGCTCTCTCCCGGCGGCGCGCGGGGGGACGGGCGGGACGGCGCCCGGGCCGCGGCGCGGCGGGTGCGGCGCCTCGGCGGCAAGCTCGCCAAGACGAGCAGAGAGGTCCCTCGGCGAAGCTCCTCCGCCTCCTCCTCCTCCTCCTCCTCCTCCTCCTCCTCCTCCTCCCTCCTCCTTCCTCCTCCTCCTCTTCCTCCTCCTCCCCATCGTCCTCCTTCGAAGTCGGTGTTGGAGGTTCAGGCACTTTGAGAACCGACGGAACGAGGATTTCCCTGATGTTCTTTCACACGACTACCGCCCCAGTACTTGCACGGGCCAACGAGGGAGCGGGGGGGGCATGGAAGAACGATGGCAGCGATCGCATTGTTCTCGATGTGTGCATTGATGAAAGTGGTAGTTTACAACGAATTGGAGGCGAGTAACACGGACAGGCTGGAAAATATTAGCAGTGCACTACAAGAGTGGGATGTGATTGTGCTGACAGAGACGCATCAGTGGGCAGAGCCAGCGCAGATGCTGAAAACGAATCATCGACACCATGTGGCGCTGCAGTTTGGGGCAAAAAGGAGAAAATGGATTGCCAAGGCATGTGGGACGACGTTCTTGGTGTCAACAAGACGATGAAGGACACAGTTTTCCATACACAGTGGGGGTAAGGCTGCGCACGAGAGCTTACGACGTCACAAGTTATGATGCGTATCTTCCACTAGAGAGGGCACGCAGACAATGGGATGATAGCCCACAAAGATATGAAGCGGGTTGAGGACAGGTGTGATGACACAGGCGGCAGATCTACGATCCTAGCGGGAGGGGGTATCTAGAGTCAACTGGGAATCAGTTGGGAATCCATTGGAAAGCAGTCACAGCTCGAGCACATGCGCAGCGGCATTGAGACCAGCGGCTAAAGAAATGGAGAACGACAACGGCACAGTTTTCAGGGAGTTGTGTGTCCACAGCCTGTTGTCAGTAGCCACCACCTTCTTCGATCGTGGACCAACTCATTACTCCGTCAAACACGCCAGGATACGGACAAACAAGATCGACCACAGAACGGCACCGACGGGAGCTTTACCGCACGCGCGAAGAGTGGCAAAGAACAGATAAGCACATCACAGCGAGAGGACATAGAGACCATATCTTGTTGGGCATCGACATAGGAGAGGGACACTAAGTTCACTTGTCAAGCAAGCACAGGCAGCAGAGGGAATGCGAGAAGGAGTGCGACGAGATGATCGCGGAACAAATGCCGCCACCATTGGGCGGGGATGTGAAGGATCTGGCAGAGAGAGAGACAACTGGGACATGCTGAAGTACTGCAGAAAATCGGCAACGAGGAGAGTTGCCCCCCCGTGGGGGGCACCAGTGGACCTGAATTGGATGAGTTTGGACCCCGTGGTCAACCTGAAGGACCCTGAGCAGTTGAGCGAGAAGCTGGAGGAGCAGAAGATACGAGCGGCAGAGCTACGCGAGGACGAAGAGGATCTGGACAAGTACAGATCACTCCACACGCACAGGGTGGGAAGGGCGATTCTACAAAAGATGGGATTGACAACAGGGAATGCGCTGGGCGGGGTGGAGAGAGCCGATGATGGAGAAGCGACGAGGGCGAATGATGAAGAAAACAACACTTGGTGGGACACGAGACACGAGACAGTTGGACTGGGGTCGACAGCAATGGAGACACGAGAGCATGGAGCGCAGGAGCAGGCTGGAGGTCGTCCTCATGAAGTGTCGCCGACCCCAAGCTACGCCACTGGCCCGACAGAAATCGGTTTCGTTCTCGGCAGAGAAATGCAATGGCAAACAGGGGATTGGAGGGAAATATGAGTTATGCATGCTTGTTGCATTATTGGAACGGCGTCCCACGAGGGGCTTCACCACGGGGGAAATATCCGAAACACCCATGCTGGGCACAAGGAGGGCCACGGAATGGGCAAGGGGGAACGCCATTGCACGCGTCGAAGCCACGCAATGGAAGTACCACCGCCAGCACGTATGACTGCACCAACGCCTTCGCGGGCACGAAACGCACAGTTCCGCTGGCATCAGCATTCGCGACATCAACGGAGGAGGACTTACCTTTCGCCGTCGAGGCGATGAAGTACACATCGATGAGTATGGAATGCGCCAATGAGTGGCTACACGCGCTGACTACACAGGGGGCGCAGATGGGTTTCACTCTGCGCCCACGGGATACACTGACACCTACAACCTGCATCCGGGACCATGGCACCAAGAAAAGAGGAGGAGGGACGAGATGCAGACAGCGCATGATACGTTGGACCCAGTCACAGACCAGGTGCACGATGCTTCACTCAACACGTTCATGGACGACTTCACCTAGATCCGCGCGGTGGTTCAGTCGGGCCCACCCACCCAGGTGGCGGGCGTTAGCGAGGTAATTTCGGAGCACCAGCCAGTTATTGGCGAAAACGAAGTCATCCCGGCTCGCCCAGAAGCGCTTACTGGGAGAAAGGGTGGACCATTGTTCCAGGCGAGAAGGGCGCGCAAGCTGGCGACGGGAGGTTGGAGCCTGAACCCGGCCAAAACCAGCCACCTGGTTTTCCTTCGAGGCCCGGGGCGAGATAGGATCAATCGACAGCTGCAAAGGGAAAAGAAGCTCAAGGGCACGCAGATGAGGGAGATGCAAACACTGGGACCTCACCCACCTGGGCATCAGGGCTACGCGGGAGAGAGAGGAGGAGATGCGATGCAATGCAGATAGCTTACAGACACAGCAGTTCTTTCTGGTCTTCTGATACCACTGACACAATGCAGAAGGAGATGCTCCAAGCATGTGTATCATGGGGGGGGGGGGGGGGGCCTTAGCGGGCTGATGGCAGTCGTATCAGAGGGCCGCCACCTCGGCGCGCTCGACAGCGCCATGGCAACGCGTTCGAGACGAATGGCCGGAGGCAGAGTGAGTTGGACTCAAGAAGATGGCACGACCAACGAGGTGTTAAAAAGAATAGAGGACACCGCGCTGCGCTACAGCGCTGAGGATACGCAGGCTACGACAGCACAGGCAAGTGGCGAAACACCCCGAGGATTTCGGCCGCGCATTGGCAGCGGAACATCGAATTTGGAACGCCTGTGCGAAGCCAGGAGATTGGAAAAAAGGGCGGGCATGCGAGGCGTCGACGCCGTGGGCGCAGCAGGCTGTCAAGGATTTGCAGGCGCTGGCAGAGGTCATCGAGAACACGAGGGCAGAATGCCAGACCGCGGCTATCGCGGAAGAGCACCTCCTGCACGTCCGACGACGGATGCATCGCGTTTTGAGAGAGCCGCCCTCGGGAGGCGCACCCCAGAGCAGTAGGCCGTCGAATGGGGCGCCCAACAGCGGGCGGGCGATGAGGAAGAGACACTTGTCAGGTGATGGAAGGGTAGCGGAGCCAATCAGCATCGACGTTGAACGCCCCGCTAAACTTAGAGGCGTTGGCCCAGATGGTAGGAACTACGAATTGGCTCGAGAGTTTCGGACAGGACGGGAAGCGGCGTTGAAGAAATTATTTGGACGGGGGCTTCTCTGGCAGCACCCAGCCCTCTCGCCCCCGTCAGTAGCCGACATTATCTATTATGACGACACGATGCTTGTCTCCATCCCCCCACTCCATTGTAGATGCGGGGATGCGGCGGGCAGGGCATTTCGCATGCTGCACAGCGCATGCTGCGAGGCGCGCTGACTCGGGGGCAACGGGATCAGAAGACCAAGTGCCACGTGATAACCGAGACAGTTGGGAAATGCACCACAATATCAATCGATCATCTTCGGCCCCCACAGCCAATCTGGCTCAGCGACGGCCCAGGTGCACAGCGTCGTGCACTAGCGGGTTCATCTCGGAGTGCGAAACGCTGGAGGCAGCCCGTGGCCTTCGCAGGCAGCAGTCAGCTATGGCCACGCGGGCGTTGCAACAAGGGGCTCGGACAATACATGATGATCGAGAGCCACGGGGGGCGCGCCAAGGAAGCGCCCGGACATAAAGATCAATGAGGCAGGGGAAGTCAATGGAAGAGGGCGCGCGTCGACTGCGAGTTGGAGCTGAGGCATGAGGAGTGGACTAAGTGGAGCGGCGAGGAAAAGCGAAGGCACGGAGAGGAGCAGTGCATCACGAGGGAGCACGTTTGCCGATGACAGAAGGGGATAGCTAAAGGAGCAGCGTGGGCAGCTCAGGCAGCAAGAGCGCCCATGGATTCTGAAGAAGGACTTAAGACAAAATCACGCGACCAGAGGAACACGGATGTCATCGCGAGGCCCAACGAGATGTCAGAGGCATTGCTGGAGGGCATCCAAATTAATGGGTGGCATCTCCGAAGCCTTCAGCAAAGCTGGAGAAGGCACGTCAGATGCATTACGATGCGCCGAAGAAACCCTGCTGAACAAGTACATGCCCATGGACGGAAGAGACGAAGAAGCGCTGAATGCCGCCGAGAAGGAGCCGGAGGGGAAAGAGGGGGAATTGCGCGAGATGGGAGGTTACAAGACGGCGAAGAACATAGGAGAACAACACACAAAAAAAAGGCGCCGGACTTCGCGGACAAGTGGAGCGACGGCATGCAGTTGTTCAACGCATGCAGAAGGATCACAGGATGAGACAAAATGAAAGACATCGCCTGCTCGCGCGGACCCGCGCCCCATCACAAGCTGCGGTCGCAAGGCCCGAGCCCCAACTCATGGGGGCCTCGGCGCAAGCTCTGGCGCGAAGTGGACTGGTCGCAGCTCGCGAAGGCGCAGGAGAAGCGCCCAGAAGACAAGCTCATGAAAGAGCGGGCGGGCAGAACGAAGGGCGCCTTCTGCAAGACAGCGAGAAGCGGCCAGACATCGGGTGCGAGTCCGTTTTCCTACCCTTCAGGAGGGGGTCTTCAATGGCGGCGGAGCAGAAGGTGGGAGTTAAGTGGGAAGCGCTTGCAGCGGCAAGGCTGCCGCAGAAGCTGGGCGGCGCCACCGTGGAGAACAATTGCAAGTTCTACGACGCCGCCCAGAAGTTGAGCCTAGAGGAGCTCCTCGAGCTGATCCCGACGGCCCCTCCGATGACGCACAAGGTGGACGGGCGAGATTTCACCTCATGGCGCCCAGTGGACGCGTGGGAAGTGCTGGGAGGGGGGCA